TTACATTTATTAATATCAAAGCGTAAAGAATACAGATATTGTATCCTTCTTTCTCTCTCTTATAGGAGGGAGAGCAAGAGTAAGAGAAAAAATGCAAAAAAGCGTCTCCCTCTCCCTCCCTTTTTGCTTGTTTTATCTACCATAATGTTTCGCTTTATCTATCTAATAAACATCATTACCTTCATACTTATCATACCTAAACTACTTTGTGGTTTTTCTCTAGTTTTTTAAATCTTATATAATATATGCGCGTATGCATGTGTGTGAACCCGTACATACATTGAGAAATCTATTTGATCGAATCAAAACAAAATTTTTTAACTGACCGATTTTATTCATTGAATTTGTAATATATTTGTATTAACGAGAAATTATGTCACGAAAAACAAGTAAAATGTTACAATAACTAATTTTTTGGTTGCATAGATCTGTTTGTTTCAGCAAAATTTCATAGTAGTGTCAATAATGATGACAATTGTTTTATTATAACGATCAAAGAATTTGTTTGCCCATATCCAGACAAAAGATTTAGTTGATTCAATCAAATTGTTCCCCCCCCCCCCATTCAATTAAATGGTTTCTTAATGTATACACACACGTACGCACGCACGCACATATGTACTTTATATCAATTAGTGTTATCAATTAAAAGTTAATACTATTGAGTCATCATCACAGCTAATGTCCCATCGACTCTTTGTTAAATGATTGATTTTCTGTCAATCGTGGCCTTTCCTCCTCTATTTCTTCATTTTTTGTCTCTCTCCCCCCCTCCTCTCATCGCGTATTCTTTTTTACCGATTCTATGTACGCTGTAAAAAGATCGATAAGAAAAAAATCGAGTCTTGCGCTCATTACCGTTCTCCGAAAATCCCGATTACACGTGGCTCTCAACACGAATATTCAAATTTTTTTTTAGCAACACGCTCCTGAAATCTCAAGGAACAGGACGAGAACGTTTGTACCGTTCAATCCGCGATCGAACTTTACGGAAGATATTCCTTTTCTTCCCCTTATCGAAGCTACAATTTTCACGTTCACGCAGCCGATATTTACACATTGTTATTCGGGCGCGAGCATCTTCGCAACAATAGATACACACGTTTTCACTTGTTCCGTATGTCCTTCCGTCTCCCTTTCTTTCACCGGACGGCAGTGTTTAATTCGTTTCTTTCTCGCTCCAAAGATCTACCGCGAATTCTGAGACCATGATGATATATCCCTGAATCGGTCAAGATCGAAAATAAAGATCTCTCCTAATCACGCGTTGACTTAGCTATCGTGACTGGCTCGAAGACTTTTATACACATTCTACAATAAACCACTATTTAAGCTTTAAGTCTTAAGAAATTGAAAGTTATAATCGAAAGACTAATCGACTATGATCCAGTCCATTTTTAAGATTTAAGCTGGCCGCACACGATGCATGATTTTCATGCTTACTCTCTTGCATGCTGATCAATGCACGTTACTTTGCTCGGTTCGCTGCATAAAGGCCATCACACGAAGGTGACAACCGTGGTGGTGGCTTTAACCTATACATTTCACATACGCATGACACCAATCAATCACGTGAATAATTCTTAACGTTTTGATTGGCGCGTACAAGAAAACGAGCATGAAATAATGCACCGTATTAAACACAGAAATCAAGGATGATAGTATACTTCGCCCAATGCACCAAGGTGTTTAGCACGCATTAGAGCAGGCACAGCAGAATATAAGCCCATTATGCAGGAAATCGTGCATCATGTGCGGTCAGCTTAAAGGAACACAGACTTTTGCATAAAGCACAAGAGAATCACTAGTCTTTTACTTTGTAGAAAGGAAATAAAGGACTTTTTCTTCTGCATTATACGTTTTATGCAAGACTCTGTATTCCTGCCCTTACAACTTAAGTAACAGTAAAAAGCCAATTATTGTAGAAAGCCTATTACGATTAAACGATTTTCAAAATCATTCATAGAAACAACTTGCTCGGTTCTACAATCATCATTGTTCGCGCGAACCGTATACGGAAAAAGCGTCTACGAAAAGCAACAATCAACATATATAAAAGATAAATGCTTAAAAAAATAACAGCACAAATTTTATATATGGCGTTTAAAATAATGCAATACGCTTCGTTAAAAAGCAATGCAAAAAATATACAAATAACGCAGTATAGACAATTCCATACAATTCCGTCCAAGGAGTTGATTTGTCCGTCACAAATTAAGTCAGAAACTGTGCAAATAAGCGCATACGCGGATACGTATTAGAATCGTTCCAAGCCGATCGAGAGTTTAAGTATTAGATTAACAAATTCCCAACTTGACAATTTCGATAATTAGTCCGTCAAATTTTCAATTCAGATTGTGTAATACATACACATTATATATATATATATATATAAAAATTACAGTCGAATCCGAGAAGAATAAGCGACTGTGATTCGCCCATTTCTTATGGCTTAAGGCTTAAAACCCTATTGTAGATCCAGACTAAAGGTCTCTGTTTGTGTAGCACTAACACACTACGCTATCCAACGTTTTCAAAAGGCGATTTTGGGATACAATCGCAAGTTGGTCAACAACATGTGGAACAATACTGGAGTGATATCTTGGCCCCCAAGACATTAATCGGTATCGTTCAGTGTGTTGTTGTCCAATCCACGAAAGAATAAGAAAAAGAATCGAAAAATAGAACAAAAGAAAAGAGCAATATAATGCAAAACAGATTTGCATTCACTCTACTCTACAATTTAATCGTTTTAGCTCTTTGTACGGTCACGTAGAATTAAATTCCGACACGATTATTTCGTTCTCCTTCATCGATTTTCGTGTTAAGACACGTGCACGAATTCGTTATCGCCGCGAACGACGAGCAAATTAAATTTTGAATGTGAAAGCTGTAAAAAACGAAAAAGAAAAAACTGCTGTGACGATTCGTAATTCTTGCGCATGTAAACCGATACTGCGAGGGCAAACGGAAAACGAGTTGCCAAACTCTCTCCGCATATGTTAAAATCCCGAGGGTATCGATTTCCTCTCTCTTGAGCCCGGTCGCGTACGATGTTGAGAAGGATGGAAAAAAAAATGAAAGGGAACATCTCACGCACATTCGATCAATTTACATCCGACAAACATCCGTTGTCTCTCTGTCCGTGTAGAAACATATCTTCCTTCAACAATTTTCGACGTCATATGTAGATCAAATCAGCCGATCGTTACTTCAACGCACGACCGTGTGTTAGATACCGTTCGAGGATTTTTTACCTTACAAAACTATAAATACGGAGTGAGCAATCGAAAAAATCGAAATCGCGTGTTTTGATATCGGTCTCTATCGATTTTGCATTTTTCTACTCATTCACGCTCATCCCACATTCATACCCCCGTCTCGTAAACTTATTCTTACCTAAGACTAATTGCCTACCAAAGAAAGCAATTTGATGTAAGAAGAGAAAATAGGTGGATATAAATGTTGCAAAAGGATTATTGCATGTTATCAGAAAACTTAAAAAAAAAAAATAAACATTAATTAAAATACTACGTCAAAGAATTTTGCTCAGTCTGTGGCATGAAATAATTTTGCTTACAAAATAAGGAAAAAAAAAAGATAAACGAAGATAACACACAAATTTTAAAGTTTGCAAATCTAAATCTAAACTGACGAAACTACACTATCGATTTGATTGTGCAATGTCAAATCGATTGTATTCTCCACGCTATTATATCATTAAGGCCTTAACTTACTACTACCATTGTTATTTATTTACCCTTAAATATTATTGTTATCGTTACCATATTATATATTAAGTCCATTTACTGTGTCCAGTATATAGATAGAAGTGTGGTGCGAGTTTGATATGACAATTGCGCCCGTAAAGCATTGTAAATAACGAAAAAGTTCAGACTACCCTTCTCCCTATACCTGTTAGCACAAAAAACGATCTCAAGAAACTCGCACGAAGAACAATTCTTTAAGGACGGGTTAAGTTACCATTAACGGCTGTTCCTGCTTTTAATTTACTTATTAATCTCGGTCCCTTAGGGACACAGCCGCGTACTGCCCTTTAAATGTCGTCATCCTGTCTCTTACGACTATGAATGCGTTCTAAAGAGGAACAATCCGGTGTTATTTAAATCATGACAGTCACGACGCTAATGTTCTTTTCCCTCTTAAAAGTCTTTGTCCTCGATATCCGTGTCTAAAATAAAGCATTGGAATAGTTAGTACTCGAATTTTTCAAATATAACAACAGTCATCGCAACGCTCAACAAGCATAAATTGAAATCTTATGAATTGAGATAAGAAAGATTATAAATTAGTGATCACTCCGGCAACGGAAAAATCTGTCAAATTTTCTCTATTTCTTTCTCTATTTTTGTGTTATTGTAAAAATAAATCTTAAATTTACATTACATGCAATTAATTAATTTTGTTGAAACATGCCGAAAATCGAGAGCACGAGAAGAGTGGTCAAAATGTGAATTTTTCGCAAATACGTTATGATGATCGTCATGATGCATTCGCGAAGCAAACAAAGCATCCATTCAACCCTCGCCTCTCATTCAAATTTCTCCCGATCCCCTTCCTTCTTATTATGTCGGTCACGTTCAATTAACCCACTCGCGTAACACGCACTAAGAAACTCAAAACCTTATACACCTATCTCACGTAAAGAGTAACTATTGGCAAAGAGTAGTAGAATAGCAAGAAAATAAAAATATTCCCAACAAAAAAATGAAAAAGAAAAGTAAATGGAAATTAAAAAAAAAAGCTGCCTGAAATAAATCTCTTGTACGAAGCCATGTCTTTTTACAATCCATAATACCAAAATGATAAAGCTCGCGAAAGAAACTGTTAATAAAGAAGTATACTGATAACGATCATTAGTCGGGCGGCTATTAAATAATTGCTTGTCCAACATCTCCGTACTACGGATCTTTGTCTCTAGCGTCGACGATTAGAGCACGAGGAGATAATAAAACCGCGTATTCTCTCTCTCTCTCTCTCTCTCTCTCTCTCTCTCTCTCTCTCTCTCTCTCATCTCTCTCTCTCTCTCTCTCTCTCTCGAACACCAGTTGTCTCGAGAACGGCATGAAGCGCGAGCTTTCAAAAGTCGCTTTGGAAAAAGCAGTTACGAAAAAAATCATCGGACGCTTGTTCTTTTTTTTTTTCAACGCATCGATATTGAAGTCCATCGTTTGACAAAAAGTCGCGAAGCGTAACTTCGCTCGTCCGCGCTTGTCGTCTCGTCAGACTGAGGATGTACTCTTTCTTTCTGTATGTGTCGAATGTTATAGATAATATATATATGTATGTACGTGGGGCTCTCCTTGTGTTTCTTTTTGTAAGTTTAGCGGTATACGATAATCTAAAATACAGTATTACTTACATTTTGTCACAATGATGGCGCGTGATGGGAGTTCCAGAACGCATATATATACATATATAATGTATCTCTCGCGCGTACACATCGATCGCGGCATCAGGACGCACCGAAGCATCGCGTCGTCAGCCCCCCCCCTGCCTCGCGGTGCATAGTTTATATACGATTTGAAGTTTGTATGCTGGATGTATCTTAGAGTAAAGAACGGATTACGGGTATCCACTCGCGCGATAAAATCGAAAACCCGTGTGTATATGAACCGCACACGGTGTCACCATCATCGTCGTCATCATAATCTTCACATTTTTTTCTCATCATCGTCGGTGTCATCGTCTCTCTTACTCTCGCAGTCTTTTCGACCGATGATTTCATCGACGATAATTCCCTACTGTACCTGATTCTTCCAGAGCTGTTGACGGTCGCTGCTTCTCCCCTCGCGCGTTGCTGGTATATACGTCGGTTTTTGGGTATCAAGCTTGGACGTTCAGCACTATACGCAATTGCCTCGTGTGTTCGCTTGCGCTGTCCGATTGGCCGCAGCTGTCCATCAATCTGCTCGTCCAATGACTTGGCGGCTTGGGCACACTCGCGGGCGACGGTGTTTCCGAGAACTTGGCGCCCGCGTAGAAGTTGTTAGTTGGGCTGCTGCTCGGACTGTGCTGCTCGCAACGTTGTTGTTGTTGTTGTTGTTGTTGCGGTGTATGCTGCTGCTGCTGTTGTTGCTGTTGTGGCGAGTTTCTCGCGCTCTTGAACGACGGGCTGTACGGGCTGCAGCTCTGCCGTCCATCTTTAGTATTTCTGACCGTGTGGCGGCCGTTCTTGTATAGGAACGGCGAGGATTTACTGTTGGAACGATTATGATGATGGTTGTGCTGATACTGATACCCAACCTTCGGCGAAGCCTGCCGATCCACCTTGGCGTTATCTAACTTGGGCGCGGAGTTCGTCATGGCTCGGATGTTTGTCTATCTATCTATTTCTCTCTGTTTCACTTTTCTAATATCCCCTCGTTATTCAGCCAACTCGTTGGCCTGTAATATAAAGCGGACGTATTTGTGCATTTTATTTTTCACTTCTCCCTTTTTCTACGAAAAATATCGTAACATTGCTTTGTATTTAAAGTATTATTTTTTCATTCAAAAAGAAGAAACGCTGCTTTATTTATGTTTGAAAATAAAGTAATATCTATTTTCTTTGTTTGGAAAGGAGGACAATAACATTATCTCTGACAAAGCTAGTTAAATACTTATTGTAAGAATACTTTAGTAAATAATAAAAAAGTCTTCTCTTTTTTTTCCCCCTAAAGATTTCATTTAATTAACTAATCTTTCTTTTTTTTAAGTCAAAATACTGGAAGTTATACAAGTAAAAAATGCTATACATAGAGATTTCGCTGAAATTGATCTATGATAAATTATCATAGATAAAAACAAAATCTCATTAACATACTGGTTATTTTATACCGCTCACTGTTTGCATCATATAAAACAAAATAATTCGCTATATTAGTTCATTTATTCCTACATTGCAGCATATTCAAAAGAACATGCAACTGTAGTGGAAATAACAATATTTGAATTTGTAATATTTATGTTTACATAACAAGTTAAAGATACAAAATTTCTCGATAGTTACACGGTTTTTTATATTATCATAGGAAAAAATTAACGGATACTTCTTTAGATATTCAAATACAGTAAGACTAAATTTATGCTAAAATTTTATCTTTATATTGTGCACTATAATTTGTAAATACTTTTATATAACGATAGAATGTTAGCATAAAAGCATACATTTGCAACATCTAAAAACAGACTCTGGCTATAATACAAATCAGCTTCATATACACCAACAGACATGAAACGTTCAATGAGAATCAATTCTATACTTTCTATCATACTTTCACCATCAAATACCATTTCCGGAAGACAGAATTGTTTGTGACACAGTAAAAAAGTCATTTAGTTTTTAATTGATTACGAACTAAAGAAATAAACACATTATGTATATATTAATGTATATTTTAAAAAACTAAAAAATATAAACAAAATATATAAGAAAAGAAAAATTTATAAAAATTTGACTTTATTTTTATGCTTTTGGTATTAATAACTTTAAATAACTTAATCCTGTTTTTTTATATTTTATAATATAAAAGTTACTTTTACAATCACCAAAAAAGGTTTAAAGTTTTATATATTATTGACAAGCAATCTTACAAAAAACAAAAGATATGCATCAATTTCTTCAAAGTTTTAAAATTTTAACAGACATTCGTAAAATTTCATTCAGACAGCTGTCCAAAACAAAATATAAAGAGACAAAAGATATATATATATATATGTGTGTGTGTGTGTGTTAATTTGATAAAGGATTCACAAGCTCACACAATTACTTCATCCTTGTTCTTTGTCTTTTCCAATCGACTCTCTCAATCCTTGAGAGCATTTTATCTTCCCAGTGTCTGGTATGGGATATGCGCTTTTCCGCAAGGAAATAAACGCACATTCTCGAATAATCTCGAACTATTTAAACACAAATTAAAAAAAAAAAAGGCGTCTTTCTTACCGATAAACGCTCACGAGTTGCCTCTCGTGGACGACGTCCCGCGTCCCTGCTTAGCAATTTTTCCAACTGCGCAATAATCACAGTATCCAGGGCAGAGCGGTGGTGGGGACGACGACGGTGACGACGCGGTGGGATAAGTGCGGTGGGGCACCTCGGGGACCTGTTAGCGCGATGCTACCTCGCCTCAAGTTCCTCTTCTCTCGCGGTCCTCCCAGTGCGCGTTCCCCGCAAATTCGACCACATCCGGTGACCGTTAGCCACCTTAGCTCAATATCCTTTCTCCTATTTCTGCCTTCACCTTACGCGGCCTACTCTCTGATGCGGAAACGGAAAAGCGGTACGTTCCGCTCGCTCCCCAACACGACAATAACGACTCCTCTCTATCCAAAATGGCGGACTTCGAGCCGTTGTTTATTTGTCTTCTCGCGGCTCCTCTTTACGGCACTACCAGATCGAATTGGATTACCCTGGCCGAGTTTGTCTCGCCGTTACGTTTCCCGCACGTCTCCACGCCAAAACTCTCAGGAACTCAAGTCCTCTCGCCACGGGCGAGGTCCGTCTAAGCGACGTGTACGTATGTACAACGCACCGCTATATCTACGTGTCTCGGGCTCTCGGGATGCACCGTATCCGTATGCTTGCACTCCGCGTGTTCTCGATACTCTTCTTCCTTCTTTGTCGTCGTGGTCGTTGCGTTAGTTTCCTTTTCCGCTTTCCCGTTCCAGGTTGATCCAATCTAATTCAATCACACAAATAACAGTCACTCCGCAGTCGGAAATCAGGCTCGCGTTCTCTCCCGCATCTCTACGAGTTCTACGACACTTCTCAAATCACAAACACTGATTGGAGAATTTCGCTTGCGTCTTTATAACCTATTGCGAGGAGAGCCACTATCCCCTCCACATGTCACCGCGCGTCCGACCAATCAGCGCGCGCGTCACTTTCCTCATTCCACTTCGTGCCTGCGGCGCCTGCGCCAACCTAAAGATACAATTCATAGTGATATGCAAGAAGACTAGAACCAGGAGAGTCAACTCGCGTGGTGGGGGTGAGTCAAAAAGCGTCACTCGCTGCTTACCCCCAACCCCTGTTGAGGACGATGCTCAGTAGCTCACTGCGCATCGTCCCCACCCTGTTGGGGATGATGCTCAGTAGTTCATTGAGCATCGTCCCAAAGTTTGCGCTAGGGATGGGCGATGTTTCATCGATTATACAAAAGCCGAAGTTTTTTCCGTTCAATAATCGATGCTTGATTCGATGTTTCAGAATTCGATTAATCGGTACATCGATCTTCTTTTTAATGATATCGATTATGGTTGGCTCTCATTAGGTGCATCCAGAAGCACGACCGCTCATTGAGCGCTCATTGAGCTTTTGTATCTGTTTGGTCTATATTTTTCGATCTAATGGAA